GGTGTTAGTGAAGTGTATGAACTGTTCGAGCTCCTCGTGGGAGCACGAGGCGGCGCCGATACAGTCATCAATGTAACGGAGGAAGAGGTGGGGTTTAGGGCCGGTGTAGGTACGGAAGAGGGATTGTTCCACGTAACCTACAAAGAGGCAGGCGTAGCTTGGGCCCATGCGGGTACCCATGGCCAGATGTTGCTATTTTGTCTGTCAAAGAACCTTTTATACTTCCATCATTATTTAGAAGCTTTCTTGAGAATTTTCAAGCTCTTCTCAAGAATTCTACTTGAATACCATTAACATTAGTACCTTTCAAATGAATCTTCTTTTTTAAATGGGTGCATGCAATGTACTACTGCTTCTTCAACAAAAAGACTGTCGGTTTCACATGGGCTTTAAAGTCAAACACTGCATACACATTTTCTGTCTGCACACTTGCCCTCATTGTTCAGACCTTTGAGTATAGGAGTTAGGATGCTATGTTGAGGTTGTATAAGACGTCGGTGAGGCTTCTTCTGGAGTACTGTGTCCGGTTCTGGTCGCCCTGTTATAGGAAGGATATTATTAAACTGGAGAGGGTTCAGAAAAGATTTACCAGGATGCTGCTTGGCCTGCTGTGTTCATCCAGCCTGCACCTTGTTGTCTCGGATTCTCCAGCATCTGCAGTTCCTACTATCTGATTCAAAATTTACCAGGATGTTGTCAGGAATGGATGGTTTAAGTTATAATGTGAGGCTGGATAGGCTGGGACTTTTTTTGCTGGAGCTTTGGAGGTTGAGGGGTGAACTTATAGAGGTTTATAAAGTTATAAGGTGTATAGATAAGGTGTCTTCTCCCTAGAGTGGGAGATTTCAAGAATAAGGTGCATATTTTTAAGGTGAGAAGAGAAAGACTTTAAAAAGACACAATGGGAAACTTTTTTACACAGCGAGTGGTTTGTGTGTGGAATGAACTTCTAGAGGAAGTGGTGGATGTGGGTACAGTTACAATGTTTAAAAGACATTTAGATAAGTATATGAATAGAAAAGGTTTGAAGGGATAATGGGTCAAGTGCAGGCAGGTGTGACTGGTTTAGTTTGGGATTATGGTCGGCATGGACTGGTTGGACCAAAGTGTATGTTTCTACAAGTATGACCACATAATTTACATGATTCCAGCTAACTGGTAGGGAAGGTAATCCACTCAAATCTACTGCATCATCTGCATCAGGATATGCAAGATTAACAGTGCTAATCCAGTTACTACATTAAAAGATTCCTTAAGAGAAGATATCCTACAAATGGTGATTCCCTCGAATTTTCATTCCCTCGAATTTTCAATGAGAAAGTTAAAACTCTACAGATAAACACTATGATTGTAATAACTCAGAGGTGACGTAATTTTGGCAGTAAATAACATGAATAATTAGAAATCAAAGGGAGTATCTAATTGTATGCAGAGTAATCATACAATTTTAGAAATAATTACTTTCAGAAATTTCTACACACTGAATATTTGTTGAGTGTAAGAATTATCAACAGTACTCCTACAGGGCTAATGTTATTAATGTATTGTCATCCAATTACTTTTCCTTCATAAATATGGATTTAATTGGAAGTAGATTTAAAGTGATTTGCAAAAGAAGGAAGAGTGAAGTGAGGAAAACCTTTTTCACAAAAGTAGTTAGGTTACAGAACACACTGCCTGGATGTGTGTTGGAGGCAGGAGACATTCGAGAGGGCATTGGATGGTTATTTAAATAAAAATAACGTGCATGGGTACGGAGAGAAAGAAGGAGATCAGCACCAAGTAATGATGCTCGTTTGGTGAGATGGTACAGGCATGATAGGTCAAATGGCCTCCTTCTATGCTGTAATACTTCTGTGATAAATGTGTTCAGTCATCACGTGCTTTGAAATTTTGGCAGAATAGATGTTTAGGATACAACTCAAGTGTCTATTTATCAGGACTTCATTCATCTCTTTGCCAATGTGTGGACATGACTAAAATAAGAATGCCATAATCAAATAATAGTTATACTTCAATACAACCAGAAGTCCCCGGTTTTACTCATTGAAGCCAGTGAATTATAGGCAGCCTTCTCATTCACAACATAAACGAATTCACAGAATGGAGGAATATTTTTGAAAATGATCATGTTTATTTACAGCATTATATGTACAGAAAAATCTAATATACAAAGTAGTAAATTATCTTTACAAAACCTATCCAGTATCAATTGTATAATGGGCCATGAGGCACTTGACTCACAAATGTTTAAAACAAGTATACTCTGCAGTCAATGAAATGTAGCCTTCATGCAGTCAAAGAAAGTTATCAAGGTCTTATTCTATCCCTCCCCAAGCCCACACTAACCTCAATTTAATTTGTGCTTGTTCAAAGCAACCTCTGGCCAAGGTAGCACAGTTAACAGTTTTAACCCTACAAGGCTAGATAAAGAGTGGCACAGTGGTTTAGTGGTTAGCACTACAGCCTCACAGTATCAGGGACCTGGGTTCAATTCTACCCTTAGGTGACTATGTGTGGAGTTTGCATATTCACCTTATGCCTGGGTGCACTGGTTTCCTCCCACAGTCCTTAGATGTGCCATGCCAAATTGCCCACAGTGTGCAGGCTAGGTGGATTAGCCATGGGATATACAGGCTTACAGGGACAGGGTAGGGGGGTGGGTCTGGGCTAAATGGCCTGCTTCCACACAATAGGGATTCTGTATATATACAAATCATTTAACCTATTGGTAGATATTTTTATTTCACTGCAACAAGTGGATGAGGCAGATTTAAAGCATGTAACCAATTCCCATAATAATCCTGCTTAACAGACTTTAATAATGTAAAATATAAAATTCCTGACAAAGATACGTCTGCCCAAAATTCAGTTTCACACATATGTAAGAACCAAACTCCACCCCATATAGCCAAGGTCAAAGAAAAAGAGATTTGATAGTCAGAGGAACTTGCACATCATGCCAAGGTGATTGAGGTTTCCTCCACTCTACTGGAATGAATTTTATACACATGCTTTTGGTGGAGACGAACAAACAGTACAATTGGCATATAAATCGGACATAAACTTGCACTTTGCAAAGAACAGGATCCTGTTACTATTTTTTTAAAGAATTAGACCCTAGATATGTTTTATAAACAAATATTTACTTTGTGCATATTATAAAATAAAATCATTAACTAGGAGGGAGGTAAAAGGTCACATTTTACTATTGTTTAAAATGTTACCTCTGAAGGTGAATGCTGATTGCTTGGTATGAATACACAGACATAAAGGGTGTTTTGCTACTGTTTTTCTGTTTCTACATTCTCAAAAATTCTGGTCTTCCTTGGTGGTTCCTGACAAAACTTTGGTTTCACAGGTGCATTGTGCCTTGCAAAAGTTCAAGCTAAAATCTTAATCAAAACAATCTCGCTAAGTATTTAACTCGAGAGGGCATGACAGCCAAGCTAGATCTCTCCTACAACTACAGTACAGAAATCACTAACAATGATCAGGAACATAGACTCTGGCTAATTTCCCCTAAAATCAAGAGGAGGCAATGTTTAGTCCTACTATTGCCATCAAGATCAATGAACTCAGCCCAGATTGTGGATCAAGCCTGAGGCTCCCTGAATGGCTCTGACCCATTGAGGCAAAGCTTCTTCTTACATGATCACCAGTCCAGTTCAGAGGCTATGTTTTCTTACTTTGAAATTAGAAATGGAGAAAAAAAAACATTTAAAGAATTGAGTGAAAATACAAAAGAAGGAAATAAGTGCTGAAAGACTTTAACCGGATTTGAATTTTAAGAAAGAGGAGCAGAGTAATATTGTCATCATCTCAAAATAACAGTCATTCTTAAATGATGAATGGTGATGAAGTCTAGATACTTTTTAGAAGAGAAGGATGGGTAAAGACCACCTGTCAATACATAGTCATTATTACTGAGTGAGCACTGTTGAACTCTAGGTACTTTCTGTCCTATGTTATCACCACAATAAACACATTGGACCAAAGCCATGTTCGGCTCAACAGCAAAACTACAGCTTAACACGGTTAAATTCAAATCAGTTGGAGCCTATAATCTAACTGAGAGCACACGGAGTAATTAAAATCACAACACAGTTGCTTTAACACTGCTGTATTGGTAGCGCAGTTGTCCCTCTTGTAAACAGACTGTGCTACAGGTTTTCACTATTCAATGCTATGGCTGATTAGGACAGTTCATCCAGTATACACCAGCAAAGGACTTAATGTCATGACAATTGCATTGTACACAGTGTTGCCACCAGAGTAATGTGTTTATTTGCCCTTGGCTAATCAGAATATCCAGTATCAGTTAATCTTCAAAGTTGTTTGTCTGAGAATCAGCTATTTCACATCAGACCATGCACTGGCAACCTGGACATAAGTGCAATAGGAAAGTCTTTTTTCCCTCTCACATACATGCACAAAAATATCTAATCTCTTTGTGCTGTATACTGGACTTATTAATTGTAATCAATGTTCTAAGTAACAATTCCCAAGTACGTCCCATATATCAGCATTATAGAGCCAACTATCAAAATCTTTAAACACAGAGACCTTGTAGTAATCAACATTGTTTCAGACATAGTAGAAACTGCAGATGCTGGAGAATCTGAGATAACAAGGTGTAGAGCTGGATGAACACAGCAGGCCAAGCAGCATCAGAGGAGCAGGAAGACTGACGTTTCGGGCCTAGACCCTTTCTGAAGAAGGGTTTATTTTCTGATCAGCAATACTGATGTAGAGTTTAAGGGTTATTGATATAAATTGCCAATAAATCTGATAAGGAATTCAGGAGAAACTGCTTTACTCAGAGAATGAAAAGCTTACTACCACATGGAGTGGTTGAGGCAAATAGCACAGATACATTAAAGGAACATCTGGATAAGTTCATGAGGGAAAAATGAATAGAAACGTAGATAAAATAAGGTGGGAAGCAGCTCACATGGACCCGAATCACCAGAATAGATATGAATGGCTATTTTCTGTCTTGTACATTCTAAGTAATAATTATGTTTAAATGTGTCCATACTAAATGCCAGATTCTGATTTTCATTTCTTCAGAAGTATTAGTATCCATGCTAAAAACATGAACAAAGGAATACAGTTTTCTAATCAGCCAAATGCCAAATTTGTGTTTGTATTGCACCAACACTGGTTAAAAAATATATACCAATATTTTTAAGGTATCTTCAAGTTAATTCTTTGAAGCAATGAAGTTAATGTGAAAGTTTAAGAATACAGTCCATTTAGGACTGAGATGATGAGAAATTTCTTCATCCAGAGAGTGATGAATTCTCTTCCATAGCAAAAAGTTGAGGCCAAAACATTAAATGTTGTCAAGAAAGCATTGGATATAATACTTAGGGTCAAAGGGATCAAGATGTATGGGGAGAAAGCAGTAACAGAGTTCTGAGTTTGATGACCAGCTATGATCATATTGAATGTCTGTGTTATATGTTTAAAATGAATGCTCAAAATCCATGAAAAATACCCACAAATTATGAAATTGATATGCAACTTGTACCAATATTTAATAATATTTCAGTCCCATAGATTTTCAGAGTAGTTAGTATCAGCCAATTTAAGGGAAGGTTTTACAGAATTGTAATGGCACATTCACTGTGAGGTGATGTAAAATGAAGTAACAGCGCAGGAATTCGGAAAAAAGGACGAAGAAAAGAGACCCGTGCAGAATTAGATGTGTCTGTCTGAACTGAAAACAATGAAGAGATTATTTGCTCCTTAATTTTAACAGTTTCCATGTTTTCTAAATTTATCTCCCCCTCTCAGCTAGCAAAATAAATTAAGTTTGAAGGATATTTGTGACGGTTTTAGCACATTAAGATGGAATAGATACCTTTGTTATCAAATAAGATGAACTAATTGGATAATTACATAAATAGTCCAATAGTAAGGAAGCTCTGAGATTCGATGCATACAGCAACTATTTAGCTCACAGCCATAGCGCGGATGATAACTTTCATGCCTCTTCCGCTGAAATTTACAGGTACAAGACCCTCTCCAGGGGTGTTGGTGTACAAAATTAGGCTGATAACTCAGTAAAATAAGAGTATAATTTGTGTTTAATATCAGAGGTGCCATTAAACTAAGGTCCTAACTGTACTCTCAGGTGAATGTAGAAACATCCTGTTTCAAAGAAGAAGAATTCTCCCTGGTGTTCAAAATACTGTTTATCCTTAAATCAGTAAAATATCTAGTTAATATCACACTGCAGTTTGCAGGAGCTTGCCACGGATATGTTAGCTACTGTGTTTCCTACATTATAACAGTTCAAGCGAAAAAAAGTACTTCATTGGTTTTAAAGCACTTTGGAATATCCTGAGCTCATAAAAGTGCTGATATAAATGCCAGATTTTCTTTTGAAGTCAATTGTCTCTACAGAAATGTGCCTGCGTTCAACTCAAACTGTATTTCCACACTTACAACCAACGTCAGTACCTATATTCAATATTACAAAGTAACTGCAAATTAACGCACAACATAACATGCAAGATTGCAATGTATGTAAATGTTCAACCTGTTTTCTTCAAAAGCCAAACTGGTATTAAAATTGTGAGGCAATTTATACCCGAGCACTACTTCAAAACTAGATTCAAGGTAAATTTTTGGAACCTATTATAATAAACCTATGCAAGTCCCTCCTAGACATCCGTTATTCTGCAGATAATAAATATTTCTTACATAGTAAGTGTCATGACAGTAATGAACAGTATTGCATTAGATTCCTGTTCAATGCCTTCTGTTATAAACTTCTGTGGATAATAAACTGGTCTTCACAGTGAAAAATAAACTTTTATAAAATATACGATTATTTTACAAAATGCAATATTGTTACAAAAATATTAATTGCAGTGCAAAGCTGCATTCAGCCAACAAGGATGATTAGGAATTCAGAGTCCTTTAGCAAAATTACTGACATCCAGCAAAGAGCATTTTTCTTAATGCTACCGACTTACGCAAAAGTCCTTAAGTCACTGAAACGGAGATTTGTTTATGTTATTCTCAGCTTATTTGCTGGTTTTCACTGTAGGCAGGTCTTGGGTAGCCAAAACTATTCATACAAAGTTCATGAAGAATCCCAGACAATTTATCTTCTGCTGTTTCATTGGAAATTTGAAGGTGGATGTTGTTATCATAATTCCTTGACTGAAGTACTGCTTGCAAAATATGCTTTGTTTTCATTTGTTCAATCTGCAAAGTAGGCAGAAAAATGTTCCATTTTTATTTTGTAAAAACTAAGTAATTTTACATTGGTAAAAATGCTTTTAAGATGATCCTTGCAGCAGGTAGTTCAGGAATCTCATCTGCCCTTTTTTTATTATTTGTTCATGGAATGTGGGAATCGCTAGCTCGGCCAGCATTCATTTTCCATCCCTAACTGCCCAGAAGGAAGAGTCAATTTCATTGCTGTGACTTTGGACTTGCATGTAAGTCAGACAAGGTAAAGATGGCAAATTTCCTTCTCTAAAAGAACATTAACAAACCAGATAGACTTTTCCAACAATCAATATATACATAGCAATGCTCCGGTCACCATTGGGCTGGCTTTTTATTCCAGGTTTGTACTGAATTCAAATTTCACCATTTTCTGCAGTGGGGTTTGAACTCATGCCCCTAAAATATTAACCTTGGACTCTGATTACTTGTTCAGTGACATTGTCACTACATCACCGCCATCCCCTCCAATGTAATAAATTCCTTTACCTCCACTATAATTAATTTTTTGTTGATGGGTTTCATGTCAGGAAACTCCTCTCCAAAACATATAATCACTTTGTTATCTGGAAGGACACACTGGGGGTTCTCTGTGGAAAGCTGCAGAGCTGTAAGAGAAGTACAATATTTTAAGACTACAAACCATCATCTCCATTGCACTGCAAGTTTAAGCCGAATTGTTATTTAACTCTTGTGTCAGATTAACATAAATTTTCATTCAAAAAGATTTTCTATTCTTTATAAATGCACACCAATACCTGTATAGAATGTATACATAAAATTCTGTGACAAATACCTTGTCTAACTTCCCAAACGGATGTGGGTGACTTCAATCCAGTCATATATCAGGTACCCAAAACTATCAGAGATAACAAGGTGTAGAGCTGGATGAACACAGCAGGCCAAGCAGCATCAGAGGAGCAGGAAAGCTGATGTTTCGAGTCTAGAACCTTCTTCTCAGGTACCCAAAACTATCAGTATTTGTTTTCAACAAATTCATGAGAACTTCTTGAATTAACAGCTTAGAAGACGAATTTGCAAATCCCCTTCCTCTCTGAGACACCAATGCTTATTAATATTTCTACAAGTAAGATTTCATACGCAGGAGAATCTGCACAAAGGGTTTACAAGACATAAACACGTTACATGTACAGTATCCTACAATGGCCACAAAATCATAAGAAAGTGGAGGACAGGGCCATTAGGCTCCTTCATTCTTCTTCGCCATTCATTAAAATCATGTTTTATCCGATTGTGACCTTAACTCCAATTCCCTACCTGCCTTCCATAGTCCTTGACTCTATTATTGACAAACGTCTGTCTCACAGAGAATTGAATAAATTAAATGCCCCAGCCTCCACCGCTCTGCAGCACAGAATTCCAAAAACTAATAACCTTATGTGAGAAGAAATTCCTCTTCTTGATCTTCAATGGGAGACATTTGCCTTCCTTCCTATTTACTTGCTGTGTCCACATGTTAACATTTTGTGATTCACGTACATGGACATTCAGATCCCTCTAAACTGCAGCATGCTACATTATCTCTATTTTTTTGTAATAATCTGACTTTCTATTCTTCCTTTCAAGAGGACAGCCTCACATTTTCCCACATGAGACACCATCTGCCTCTTTTTGCATACTCAACTAAGCTATATCCCTATTTCACTCCTGAATATAACAGATTGTAGCATTTTCTAACATGACAGATATTAGACGAATCTATAAGTTCTCAGTTTGTATTTCCCATCCTTCACCTTTTTTGAACAGTGGTGTTATACTTGTTGTTCTGTTCTCTACAACCACTTCCTCCAAGACCCTAAGATGCAAGCTATCAGGTCTAGGAGACTTGTCAGCTTCTATTCCCATTCGTTTCCATGCAACTTACTGCTTTTGCTTACCCGTCCCCCTCTCCGGTTCTTTTAGTATTCCTGGGATGCTGAAGAATTAAGGTCAGTGCAGTTAAGCACATGCAAGCACACCAAAAGCTGAGGTGTGCCTTTAAATGCATCCCTCAATCCAAATCTGTACAATTAGCAGATGGCAGATGCCTATTTTCCCTTTCCATAAATGGCAAAGTATCAGAATGAGTCAACTGAGCAGTCTGTACACAAAAAAAGGTGCAACTATTAATTTCTGAACTGGAGAAATAGAAGTTGAACATTCAAGTTTAAGGCTTAAGTGACTGTGAGTCCAGTCTGCAGTTACTGACACAGAATAAGGCAGGAACTTCTTTGAGAGTTCTTGTAGGCGTCCCTCACCTTTCCCTTACACATCCAACATTTTCTAACAGAAACAGTATTGTGCATAACTTTCCCTCTCTCCAAGCCAGAAATTGCATATTATAATTCTACACAAATCTTGGGAGTCTATCACAGAGCATATTCACCCTACATTTGCATCTAGGCAACACTAGATGAGCATAAAGAGCTGGCTGTTTCCTTCTGTCAGCTAACACTTCTGTAACTTCTGACAGAGGAGTCTCATATAAATTTTATCAGAAACAAATACTTATGTGACCAGGAATTAGCACAGGATAAAAGCAATTGGAATCTTATTGATTCTGAAGAAAGGTCACTGGACCCGAAATGTTAACTCTGATCTCCCCCACAGATGCAGCCAGACCTGCTGAACTTTTCCAGCAATTTCTGTTTTTGTTTCTGGAATCTTACGGCACTTTTCCAAAACAAAGAGACAAATGATTTGGTCTTTGCACCCAGCCACAGATAGTAGGAACCCAAGGCCTGTCACAGTCATTTCCAGGTGAGTTCTCAAAGGGGAGGACAGACAACCATCCAAAATAATCCAAATTACTCTGATCCCAGAAATTCCATCACGAGAATGATAGGGCTCCTGTGGTGCCAGAACTCCCAGCCTAGCGTAACTGCCAAGTAGCAAATGTTGGCTTCTTATTTAAAATATTACAACCCAAATCCCAGACCATTTGGTTTCATTATTAAATAGTTTCAATACCCCACCCTAGTGCACCAACCCCTAACCAGAAACACTACTGCAGGAATGACAGCTCCGATCAGCTAAAGATCTCTTACTGATGTTAATTTTAAGAGTGGACTATTTCAATAGTATGTTAATTATATTGTTAAGATACACAAGGAAGGGTATTAAGCACCAAGAGCATATACAAAGTGAGATTGGGGGACACTGGGTTCATTCATAGGAAACACACAAATGTTGTGCTGCATTTAGTGATTATTATCAAGAGAAGTATTACTGTCTTGTTTCATACTTCACCAATGATTTGGGATCAATATAATGTAACATAACTGGTATAGAGCACAAATGTGGCAAACAGTCCATTTCGCAATGATAATAACATTGTCACACCTTCAGTACATCACTTAGACTCATTAACTCGCAAATGGATAATACTTCCCTCATTAATTGAAAGCTAAGTGAAATATCATTGGAGTTAACACATCGTGTACTGGTAGCATACCCGTACCTAAATTCCACTGATATTCTGACATAGGTGTTAAACAATTTGTCAGAAGCATTAGTTTTGATATATGTTTATATCTCACTTAAACACTAAGGAATATTTACACTGCAATCTTGAAATTCACAAAGACACCATTGGATCATACAATAGTGTTGTGAGCTTTGTAATGTGAGCCAAGCCCTTTAAAACAGGTTACTCCATGTGAGAAACAATGTACCTAGGAATATCATACAATGTGATGTACAAATCTGGATAATCAAAATTTCTATCACATCTTGATCATATCTTGCATTGCGCTGAAAAAAGTTTTGTGTGAATGCTCCCTCAGAACATGATCCGATCTAACTGCGATAGCATCTACAGTCAAATAGCTCACCGATGCTTTCTCTCTAGGCACACTGATGAAGAATGGCATTTGGTCAAAGCACCTATGGTATAACGTTCTAATATCAGTACCCCCAGTAGAAAGGCTAAGATAAATTACAACAGTTCACACCCAATTTTCCGTGCTAAAAGACAATCTAATCTGGAAGATGTACTGTGAAATATTAATTTCTATGCCAATAACAGTAGTCAACCTCAGTAATATCTATCTCTCAAATAACCAGTTCCCAAAGATAAAATTCTATTTATCTGTCCTGTGCTTCCTGATTGACATAGGCTCCCAGTCCAGCAAGCCTTGATTATGTAATCTTCATTCTCAAGTTGTTTTGATAGTCTCACCTTTCCCAATCTCTTTAATCTCCTCCCTCTCATAACACTGAGACCCCTGCATCCCTCCTGTTCTGGCACCTCTTGCACTAAAATCTAATTTTACTTCAGCCTAAGCTCCAGAATTTCCTTCTCAAACATGTTCACTGTTCTAACATCTTAAGGCACCAGTTAAAACCTGCCTCTTTGACCAAGCATATGGGCACGTGTCCTGAAATCCTAAGGGGTATGGCATTAAATAATACTTCATAATGCTCATTAAGCACCATTAAATATTCTTCTACGTTAGACAGTGCTACCTAAATGCAACAGTCCATGGTTACAAAGAAAGATATAATACAAACCATGCAAAAACTGTTTTGTGTCAAAAAGCTTCACTATCGCATCTCTCTCCAGCTTGTTTGGCCGGTCAGTGAAAGGCGCACAGGGGCCACTCCAGAAAACCCTGCCCTGGCAGAGCCTTTTGATATAGATGCCCTCGTTGTTGCTAAGCAGCAGCACCCCACGCTCAAGGTGAGTCAAGAGTTTATTTGTGACTTGCTGCTGCCGGTGGTTCATGATCTTGCTTGTGGGTGGGAACAGAACCTGTTCCATGCCTTCTGGCCCAAATATGGTCTCATTGCTGGTTGGAGCATGACGGACAGTGATGCGACAACCATCGGATCGCCGAATGGGAACCCGGGACATTGGAATTCCTCCATAGTAAAAGGTGACTATCATCTGGCAAAACCCTAGATAAAACACAACATTTTCAAGATTCAAAATACCTCAAGTTCAGAGGCCAACAAAGGAGAAATGACAGACCCCCTGTTTCATAATTGTACAGCAATAATCTGTATCTGTCAGCAACAGTCAAAGTGCATGGGGACAGTGAGTGCCTCAAGTGCACTGAAACGCCTGGGGAAATTCAACCAAAACATAACCAGAGAAAAGTCATCCTTCACTTTCCCCCCAAGAAGAACTGTCAAAATCTGGCTCCTCTAATAACAGGCTGGTTCTCTCTTACATTTGCTACTGTTAAGCTTACTACAGGCAGCGGTAAGAAGGTGAAGCAGCAAGCCTGCCACGGAAATAGAGGCTTCAAGGTCCGGAGTTACAGGGGAGTAAGAGGGGCAGAAAATGACTCTGCAAGATCACGGGGTGGATGTGGGGGATGGCAAGAAGGAAGTATGGTGAGGCGGGGGTCTGGGGTGTGAGGTTACCAGGCTAGGAATCTTTAAATCATGCTATTCTTTTAATGGTATGCATGTGTGTTGTCATAGACTATTCAACTGGGCAATGTTCCTTCCTCAGGGAGTGTCAGTCCTGTATCATTTATTGTCACTGCAGTATCTATAGTTGTTGCTTCATTTCCATCGTTGAGGTGCTTTGGACTTTGTTGACTGATGGTTGAACCGTGGTCTACACAGATTTTGAGTTTACGCCTTCCTAATTGCAGTTGTGGATCAGCTTCTCAAGCCGTGCTTGAGTGCCTGCAATTGTGACCGTGTATCAGGTTGTTCATTACCACTGTGCGCAATCAAGGTGACAACTTCTCCAAGCAGGTCCCAAACTGTCAAGTGAGCTGACTCTTGTAGAGTGCGTTGAGGTTTTTACTAAGACTGCCTATCCAATGCTGAAATCTAGCAATTGTTTTGCAGTCTTTTCAAAATGAAATTTAACTTGATGCTCTTTCACCTCAATTCCATCACTTAAGCCTGTTACTATTTCTGGCTTCACTAGCTTTTTACGATTGGAAGAGTAATCTGGGTGTGTTATCTCATTAACTTTTGTACAGGGCTATTGCCTGTGCCTTCAGTAAGTATGTTTCTCCACTCAATGATTGCTTTGTATACCTCTGTGCTTGATTTCCTCAATTTCTTTACAATTCCTTTTGGCAATTTTCACTGCCGCCTCAATCTTCTCATTTGCCTGGGGATGGGTGTAGAGTTGAGTGTGGTGTTGAATTTCACAATGCTTTATTAAGCAACTGAATTCTCCACTTGTGATCGGAGGGCCATAGTCACTCATCACGATGTTCAGAATGTCATAATATATGCTTTCAATTTCATCAGTAGTCGCTAAGGTCATCTGGTTCACCCCTCAGTGGTCAGAAATAGATTACAGTGAGATGATAATCAGTTTTTATGAGAAAAAAGGTGATCTACTCCCAGCTTCGTCCATGGACCCTGTGAGGTGTTATGTATTATCAGTAACTCTCTAGCATGTTCAGCTTGGGACTCAAGTATATGTAGATAGAATCTTGCAAGAGTAAGAAATGCCTTTGGTTTGTTTGTTGGGCAGAGTCAAATTCCAATGTTTGTTTATTGCTTCATATGCTACAGTACGGAACCAAACTGCTTCAGTGACTATGTATGTATATAAAGATATTTTTATGAAGAAAGTATATTTTTGAGATAAAAAATCTGATTACAACAACTGCATTAGCAGACCCAGTCCTTGATTTCACTGTTCAGATCAGGCCAGTAGAGCATATCTCTTGTCCTTCTCAGACTTGACTCAATTCCTTAGTGTATGGATGTGCTTTAGCATCTTTCCTCCCAACTTCTTAGGGATAAAGACTCTGTATTCTTTATCCAATATGCCACCTTGTCATGTCATTTCACACCCATCTGCCCAATATGCTTATGACTATAAGACTGTCTTTGATGCTTTTGGGTCATCCTTCTATCACCACTTCTTGAAATCCTTGGAGTGTTGCATCTTGTTTGGTAGTTCACTTGATTTGAACAAGGCCCTTGACTTTTGAGCTTAATGTCTCTAAGGGGTCGATCATTTCCAGAGCAGGCGAAGCTGTTGCTTCTTGTTGGATCTGGAAGGTTTCACACTCTGTCGCAGCATCCTCTATTTCCTTCATGCTCTCAACATCCTGTCAGCGATGTCCATCTGCTTCCCTTGCTTGTGCCTCTCATTCAGATGATATCTTTGCAACCCAAAGAACATACTTTCCAAACACTTTGGAGCAGATAGTGGTGACTTGAGGAAAATATTTTGAAGTGGCTTGTGTTCGGGCTCGACTGTCACTTTTTGTCTTCAAAGAAAGCATTGGTGAAAATGTTCACCAGCAAACAGTGGCCAGGCACTCTTTCTCAATCAAAGCAAAACAAAGTTCCATTTGTAGTAAAGCCCTGGATGCAAATTCAATGGTTGTCCTTGCTACATTAGGGTTGTTCCAAGTTCTACCTGCACAGTGACTTCATCATTTACATTACAGTATTTCGGTAGCGGCCTTGCCAAATTAGTTGCTCGATATAAGTGAACTTGCTTCTTATTCTGTGCCTAATACCACTGCACAAACTGGAAGCCAGCTGGTGCAATGGTTCCCATTCAGATGACAAATGGGGCAAGAACCTTGCTAAATATTTGCCACACCCAACAAATCATTGCACTGCTTTTACATTTGTTGGTCACCACATCACTGCTACAGCTGTCACCAGTTCTGGATCTGGGCAAAGACCTTTTGCTGATGTACATAATCAATGCACTTGATTTTAGACAATTTAATTGCAATTTTTCTTCTTCAGCTTCAAGTTCATTGTGAGGGCTCATTCCAGCAGTCACACGGGAATTTGATCGTGGTCACCCATGGCTTCTTCTATTGAGTTTCTACAGCAATAAACTAGCCAATTATCCACCATAACATGCACTCCAGTAAGATAATTAACTGTCTCATGTTGTATGTCTTGATACTTTTCCTCTGGAGCTATGGAAATGCCGTATGCTTTATGCAGCCATCTGTATCTCCTGAACAGCATTTAGAATCTTGGTAGAGAGCTGCTGCTTTCATGCCGCTTCACTTGCCAGGGACCACCTTTGCCATGTAAGGAAGCGAAGAATTTTGTCTTTGCAAGTTTTGGCAAAATTCATTCAATAATTGGCATGGTGTAGTGCGATCTCTTCAGAACTTTAATTAGATCTTCAAGGTCAATGAATAGTCAACTTTTTCACTACCTCCATTATGTAGGAATTGTTACTTTCTTGATTATTCCCTTCTTTTCCAGGTCTTCTATCTCGTCTTTCGGGCTGGCCATAAAAATAGCTTGAGTTTTCCTCATCTGATGCTGAACTGCTCTTGCATTCTCATCTACTTTGACATGGTTTTCTCTCAGAAGGCATATTGTAAACATATTGTTATACTCCTCTAGAATCAGTTCCACATTCAGTGCTTTAATGTATTCCAAGTTGTTGTAAATCTCTTTTGGCAGGTTGAGGGTTACTAGTCCAAACTTTAGACTTGCTCTGGTCGGAGTGCTTTTTCTTTGCTTTGCTTCTATGATCTGGAATTCCAATTCTCCTTCATGTAGGTGCAATGGGCTCACAGAGTGATCTATCCTCTCAGCACAAGTATGGTACCATCATATAGCCTCTATCTTATTTTTAACTGCTTAATTTTTGGATCTCCACTTCATTAAGGTCTGTGAAAGACTGTGATGCACCAGTGTGTATCTGATACTTTAATTTAACCTGATGTTCTCCTTCTGCAGTCATCATTCCAACAGTCAGAAACCACGTTAAACCTGGTGACCTAACTATTCCAGCTTGTTGTATGGTTCAGCATGGTTCATCAGCGTCTTTAGCTGATATCTCTCTCGTGGCCATCTGCACTTACTCATTGCAATTGCTTCAAGCCATACACTTGTTTGTAAAACAATTCAGCTTCTTGCAGTGAGAATATGGTTTTCTCAATGCTGGACATGCTTTCTTTTCCTTCGTCTGATGTTTTCCATGCTATCTATATCCTATACTATTATCTGTGATTATTCTATTCTGTGGCCTGGACGTTCTATCAGTATAAAGCAAGGCCGAGTCTTTTCTGCCATCAAAATGTTCTAGTTGCTGACTTATAATCTCAATGCTGCTGCACATGTCCATCACTTTCTGCACAGCAAGTTCTACCTCCTTCAGGCATGCTCTCACTGTAGGTCCACTGATGTCTAATACAATCCTGTCTTTAATTAGATAATTTCACAAATTCTGTAAGCTGTGCTGATCAATGGAATCTTTTTCACTTTGGGCCCTAATATTGAACACATACCGTTCATTCAAGGTACAAAAAGTGTGCTTTCTCAGCTTTCAAAATTTCTACTGTCTTTTTTTCTGTTCGTCAGAGACATTTAAGGGTGAACACTTTGAAATAGTCTCGCACAAACTGTGACAAAAATATAGTTACTCTTGGCTGTTCTGGCTCATTAAGTGAATCCGTTGCACTTTTGTAATCTTTCTATTCCAAGTGAGAAAACTGCCAGTTCTGCTTCATGTCACATTTCGTACAGACTTGCACTGGGAGAGAAACAGTTGTAGCTATCATGCTTTAGGTGGTGTTTCAGCTGTGCTTTGCTTCATTGTTCCTTTGTCATGTCTTTTAGTGGTTTATAGCAGCTTTCACAGCTCTGGACGTATATCTCTCTGTTGTAACTGTGTTTGTATAGAACTCTTCAACACTCAATCTCACGCCCACATTTAATACTATGTGGTCAATCTAGTATATGTTGGCTTCACTTTGACTTGATTTTATTGCAGCTGTGGATCACCCCAGTCAGCACCTCATGGTGGGGGTCAAGTTACTAAGGCAAGGCAGGAGGCACACTTGTGCAGTTTCCATCCAAATTAAGGGAGCGCAGTGTGGGTGAGGAGGAAGAGAAGCTGTAAAGGGCAGCAACAAGGGCTCTAAAGTGGAGTGAGGGTCTACGATGGGACACAGGAGTTTTAAACATACCAACAAAGGAATACTCAGCTAACTTGTAACCAGGAGAACAGTGTTATTCCTTGCAAATGAATGTAAAGTATCTAGCTTAAGATTGCTGGAACTTGGGAACTATTTTATGGGGAGAAACTAAAGTGATTGCTATCGCAATTAACTCTGTGTCAATCAGATAATATAATAATGAACAGTTTTATTTCACAAACATAGAAAATAGGTGCAGGAGTAGGCCATTCGGCCTTTTGAGCCTGCACCACCATTCAATAAGATCATGGCTGATCGTGCAATCCCAGTATCCTATTCCCGTTTCTCTCCATATCCCTTTGGCCGCACGGGCCACGTCCAGCTCCCTCCTGAATATATCTAATAAACTCGCCCCAACAGCTTCTTGTGGGAGAGAATTCCACAGGTTCACAACTGTCTGAGTGAAAAAAAACTTCCTCATCTCAATCCTGAATGGTTTAACCCTTATTCTTAGACTATTTTACATTATGTGAATCCCATCTCGAAGGACCTCAGATTATGTGAATTAATTGAGATGCAGTGGCTGTCTTGGAGACAAACATGCAATAGTTCAGCAGACATCTCAGCAGTTCATGGAAAGTGTGTTTAGATGATGCTTTCAGTGTTTAGATTTGTCAGGCATACATTTAAAAATCCATTTGGTGTTAACTTATATCTCTTGTCTCGTACCAATTTAAACACTATGATGTCTAGGAAATCAATGCTTCCTCGTGTGCAGTGGCTTTAAGGTTAAATGGAACAGTGATGATCATTGAGAATATTGGTGAATTTTTCTAATTCTGCTCCTGTGCAAGTCCAATTCCCCCATATTTCAACACACGTACAGGAAGTCTGCATCAGATATGAACTTCAAAGAGCAACAATGACCAGCAATGATTTTAATACCTGAATTGGGTTGCAGAGGTCCAAAGTTATTGGCATAATACAGCACTGAAGAATCTGTGACAGAGAAAAATAAAAGATTGAATCACACGACCTCCATTATAATGAGAAACACAACAAAGCTAAGAGAAACAAGAGTGAGGTATATTTTGACTTCCTGTAGCCACGCAAAGGGGCAATGACATGTTGGAAGGTCATTTTCTGTTTTGCTCAGCATCTATTGGGAATGAATATCAGGATAGATGTAATATGAGTTGTTGACTCACTATCAGCCATTTACATGATTCACTAAATCAAGATCTATCTCAGGGAGAATTAAATATATAACCACTACAATTACAAACTTGCAATCTTAATGAATGGTTGACTGCTGTGATGGATTCTTTCTAAATGAAAGCAAAATTAGTCTGAATAGCCTACAAGTCCTTGTAGATTGTATTGAAAAGACAAGAATGGAATGATACTGCAGTGTCAATTATTTGTGTGCCATTTATAGGTGAGGAAGGCTATTCAGACTAATTTTGCTTATTGATTCATTCATGGAATATAGGCCTGGCTGACAAGGATAGCATTTATATCACCCCTGATTACCCTTGAGAAGGTTGTGTACTTGATGGTGGATCTGAAACTCCTCTGCACTGTTTTTATGCAGGTTTTAACTTGCTCAAATTTTTCCTCTTAAACAGCAGGGAAAGGTAGTTTAGTCAAACATACGAAGTGTTAGCGCATAACCTACGTTCTTAGATTGCGATACCATAAATTTTACATTTCATAACCATTGCTTCCTAAGTTCCCCCTGCTCTTAATATTGCTCCTGCACTTCTGGCCTCCTCCCTGCATGAAGGGATCTCAGCTCTCAGTCTCCTGTATTTATCTAGAATCTGATGGATTGTTTACTCATGAGTAGATGGTTGAGTGCAAGCTTTGTTCAGGTATTTTTAAGAAATTTCCATCACAGGCTTCACATCATGCAAGGAGAGTAGAGGAAGCTCCATGGGCAATCTTCACAATTTCGATTTAACTGTTCATAGCGGAGTATTTTTTCATAAATTTCCCGTGCTTTAATAGCAACTGCTCAAAGTTTACGAATTCTTGTTCTTCCAGCTGACAATATTTCCTCGAACAGAGATTCTATTCCACTTCCTGATCTTTCAGAATTCTCCTAATGGGTCATAACCTGTGATAAAACTTTCCGAAAGACTAAGCAAACAGAAAAATATATAAATCAGATTACAGCTAGCTAGCAAAAAGGGAAGACTTGGCTTGTTTTACCTTCAATGGTTTGTCGTCCCCACCAATCTTGCTGTGGTTGACTTGTACAATCCTCCTGTGGTGGAGAATGACTTCTCTTTATTATGCCATTATAATCCACAATAACCTGCAAAATGTATTTCAAAAAACACATAATTATCTCACCAACATTTTTCATAGGTTACTAGTTTATCACTCTATACAGACAATAGTCTGCTTTATCCTGCAATTATACATCTTATTCCCAAATTGATGTCAGCTCCTGCTGTTTAGCAATAAATAGTATGAATTCAATGACTTAAGGGAAAGTTTGAAATAATACATTCACACATTTTGTCTACTTATCCCCTTCCTTCAATCCTGCTTCCCCTGAATGGAGATTTGGCTGCTCTATCAGAATCCAATCAATGCATCATATCCTGTAATGTCCCTTTTCAAGTCATTAAACTCCATGTGTCATGCAATGGGAAATTAAGTTGGGAAAAGGAAAAGCAATGACTAGCTTTTACAAAGTTGTACTTCAGAAGTTTGTCTATCAGCAAAGTGATGGAATGTGTCACCACAATGCTATCAAGTGGCACTTACACAGGTTGCTCTGGACTGATGGACTCTCTTTAAGGTATATCTTTCTTTTTTGTTTCTTTTCTTTATTCATAAAATTATTCAAAATGGCACTGAATCGTGGCAACAAATTGCTGTATTTTGTTGTAAACTTACTGTAAAATATATGTGACAATAAAATCATTCATTCATCACTCATCAGCTCACTTCCTGGACTTCATCACTGCCTAGTCCAAACATGTACAGAAACAGCTGAATACCAGCAGGGGAATGAAGTGAGAACCACTGCTCTCGAAATCAAGGCAGCATTTGATGAAATATGGCATCTAAAAGCCTGTGCTAAATTGAAGTCAATGGAAATCAAGAGGAAATCTCTCCACTGGTTAGATTCTTACCTAGAACGGTGGAAGACTGTTGACCTTGGGGAGGCCAATCATCTCAGCCCCAGTATATCACGGTGGGAGGTCCTCAGAATAGTATCCTGACCAGCTAGCCCAACATCTTTAACTACTTTAATGACATTCCCTCCACCATTAAGTCAGAATTGTGAATGTTCAGTGATGATTGCACAGTATTGAGTAATATTCATAACTCCTCAAATACTGAAGAAGGCGTGTTCATATACAGCAAGATTGGACAATTTTCAGTCTCAGAATGATAACTAGCAGGTGACATCCACACCATGCAAGCAGCAAGTAGTGACCATTCAAAGAGAAAGAATCTATTCCCTTGACATTCAATGGCATTGCCACCTCTACTTCTCCTGTGCAGACAATCAACATTATGCACTTACCACTGACTAAAAGCTAAAACTGGACAAGTCATGTAAATATTATGGCTACAAGAGCAGGCCAGAAGTGAGCAATTCACTTCCTAACTCACCAAAGCCTGTCCACCAGCAACAAAAGCACAAGTCAGGAATGCAATGGCGTACTCTCCACTTGACTGAATGAAGATGGTTCCCATAATACAACAAAGGTTCAACAACATCCAGGATAAAGCAACCCATTCAATCAGCTTCCACAAATCTAAACAAATATTCATTCACTTCACCACTGTACAGTGGCCGTAGTGTGCACCACAGCAACTCGCCAAGGCTCCTTCCATAGCTCCTTTGAAACAAGTGGCCAATGTCACTTAAACAGACGAGGGGAGTGGATGCATGGAAATTCCACAATTTGCGAGACCCCTTCCAAGCAACACACCATCCAGAATTTCAAATAAACTGCCTTTTCTTCATGGTCACTGGATTAAAATCCTGGAATTATTTTCCTAACCGTACTGTAATTGGCTATACACAACATGGACTACAGCAGTGCCTCATCACATGAGTCTGAAGGACAATTAGGGATCAGCAACAAGTGCTAGCCATGGCAGAGACACCCATATGCAATGAATGAACGAAAAATGTGACAAATATCAAACAAACTACTCCAGGATAGAACAGAATCCACACAGTGTGAAAACAGGCCCAACACGTTCACACCAACCCTCCAAACAGCATCCCACCCAGACTCACCCCCCTACTCTTTCCCTACATTTCCCATGACTAACTCACCTAACCTACACATCCCCGAACAATATGGGCAATTTAGCGTGGCCAATGTACCTAACTTGCACCTCTTTAGACTGTGGGAGGAAACTGGAGCACCCAGTGGAAACCCATATTTACACGGGAACCAGACAATTGCCCAGGAAGAATTGCATGCTCTTCTTAAATTATCACCACAAATCTTTACTGTCTACCTCAACATCTGGACAACACCTCGCTTTAACATCATATTAAATGGGAAACAATTCTAACAATGGTATACTCTCTATGTGTCTTATACACTTCGATCCTGGACATGGGCCTGAAACCCTTGAAATGCATGGCTAGGTACAGCAAAGGTTTTATTAACCAGCACCTATGGGACCAGGAATGATCAAATATTCCAGATAATCAAGAGGTACATGTAACCATAGAAAACCCTGACCAAGCAAAGCTTCAAGACATTGACATTTCTCAAAAGTTCTATATCAACAAAAAAAAAATTTGTGCAACGTCAACACTCGTCCTAAAACCAATGTAAATACACACAGTAAGCAGTAGAAACATAATGCAGGGGGTATGCACAATACTGTTATAATTTATTTACAGCATAAACACTCGAACATCATGGTAGATCGAGGTATATCATTTTTGCCTGTTAACAAAGAATGCTAGTTGATAATGTGCTGGTTAAAACAAAGTTTGCTGTACTACAGTCAAAACCAAACTGATATAAGTCCAGGCTTCTAATGCAACATTCCCTGCAAAACTGCTTCCATAACATTGCATGTTATAATCAGTGTAAAATTGACAATGAACAAGTCTAATTTTAAAACACTGCACTTGCACTGCTCCCAAATAATCTGAGCTTGATACCACATCCATTTATACTATGGTGTGCACTTCGAGTAATAATTATTGAAATGCTTGCAATTTAAGACTTCTAAAATTGAGACTCCACACCAGTGTACAACCCTGCTCAAACGAGCTTGACAATCAAAAACTGGAAGTGTAAGCAAAAAACCAGAGAGGTCAAGTTAACCACAACACAAGGACACTAACCTTGACACTCGCTGAGGCTGAAAACTTTTCAGTGCTCCGTGGCAAAAAGCAGTTTGTTTGGAGATTCTCTCCATTATACTTAAATGCCATAGCACCAACAAGAGAAAGGAAATGTATGCACTGTTATCATAAAAATAATTGGCCAGCCTGTCAGCACTCTTATCTATTCATTTCTGTTCTCCCTGCCTGTCATCTGGCTTCAATCCCATCTACACATTAGCATATTTAGGAGCATAAGAAAAAGGAAGATTAAAAGAACCAAAATTCACAAGATAGAATCCCTGCAGGGTGGGAGCAGGCCATTCAGCCCTTCAAGTCCACACTGACCCTCCAAAGAGCATCCCATCCAAACGGACCTCCCCCACCCCTGCATTTCCCATGGCTAACCCACCCAGGTTGCACAATATGGGCAATTTACTGTAGCCAATCCACCTAACCCACACTTCTTTGGACTATGGAAGGAAACTGGAGCACCCAGAGGAAACATCTGCAGACACGGACAGTCGCCCATTGGTGGAATCAAACCTGGGTCCCTGGGGCTGTAAGGCAGCAGTGCTAACCACTGAACCGTCATGCCACCCCTGGTATATAATTGCTGGTACAAGAAGATAGTTTTATCTTTTTACTTAATTGAAACAAATCAAAAATGACACTAGTTTAAAAAAAATTAAACTAAAATTGTTTAACCCTTTCTCGGGTTAGCTGAGGACAGAAACAGGACATGGCAGCAGTGGTAACAACTATTTTAGAGAGGGGGGCTTCATGTCCATTAAAATAGTTCTGACAAACCTTTCTCTCAAGTCATTCTTTAATATTGTCAGACTATTGTCCTTCCGCAAGCAAGTTTCCACATGCTTTTTCACAGAAATAGTGCCACTCAAATGAACTGCTACAATGAATGTTGGGAAGAAGTCGGAAGTCAAGCAACAGGCACTGGCAGAAGTGCTCTTTGAATAATCTAGGTCGTTACATCAATCCCAATCCCAGATGGTGAAGTATGAAATTAAACAGTAACATTTTCACTGAAAATAGGTTACAGCTTTGCATAAGTTTGCTTCCCAGCTACAGTGTCCCAACAGTCATTCATTATAGTGTTTTGGTGAGACAAATTAAACAAAATGAAATTAAAGAAACAGTTGACAGCCCTTTTACAAGGAACAATGTAATGAAAGTAAACCCAAAATGAAATTTACAAACTTTAAACTTAAATATGGTCATGGAAATGGATTATGTATTCCAGCTCCTGCGGCACCCACTGGTCACAGAAACCTACAACATACCAGTGGGCGCCATTTGCTCCCTCTCCAAGGTCACCAAGGTAATCCCTCTAAATAATTAATTAAACAATGCCTTTTACCTCTGTATTTTAACAATGTAATTAACATACTATTAACTTGGATTCACTATAAGGCTCTGTCAAATATTAATTACTCCTAATGCAAATTTGCACTGCTCTGCATAATGATGCAGAACAATAATAATTTCATTTGTAGTTCATTCTATTGGTTATATAAAAGTCATGGCAGAGGTTTCCTCATTATTTCATGGCTGATTGTTTCATTACAACAAGGCCACAAAAGTGAGAATAGACTAGCTAGGATTCTAAATTTATATCACATTAGCTGTTCTCAGCTGGGTTCTCAGTCAGGGTGCCATAAGCGGAAAAGGAAAAGAAAATATGAACCAGCATTCCTGATCCTGTGACTTTTAGTGGAATGTCATCAGAGTAGGGACTGATCAGCTTGAGCTATGATGCTACCCCACGATCATTAAATAGATTTCTACTTGAAAATGGACTCCTGGACTACAAATTTGTTTAGGCCAATCACGCCTTAGCAAAGTTCATGTCTTCAAAGAATGAGGACAGAAAACTGGGAAATAAAGTCCGTGACCATAAAACTATGAAGCCTGAAATAAGTGAGACCATTGTTGTCTTTCACTTTCAACATTTACTTTATGCTAGAAGATACTTCAGTACTTCTGTATGACTTGAGAAACTAGCCAACCTTCAATTACAATGTAAAACCATCATATCATCAGGTAAGTACCTTTCAAGAACAATGAGGTCTCCCAATGTGTTGCTAACATTCTTTCACAGTTAATACTAATATGATCAGGGCTAAGTCATCATATATATCATTGACTACTTGTGTGAACTTTATCACATACAAACTGATTGTTAAGTATAGCCATACAGTAATTGTGACTGTCACTTGAAAAGTCGCTCATTGGGGAATGAAGAGGGTTTAGAATATCATCTGTCATAATAAGGCTACACTTAAATCTAAATTCCTTCTTAATGCACAGAAATTTCAAACAAAAGGAGGTACTGAACTGTTCACTTTACACATATGTTTGGATTACAAACTTATTTGGACCCACAGCCATGAAATCAACTAACTTTAATCATTTAATCAAGTGCTTTTCAATCTGACTGAGGCCTTAAATCGTAAGAAAGGGGTAAAAGGATGCAGTCACTTACGTCCTTTATAAGCTCATCGGATCCAGGTGGGCTGCAATCCATATCAGTGACGTCACCTTGTTCATTGGAATGATTGCCAAATTTACCTGTTTTAGAAGGTTTAAAATCCATTCAGTCAGTTCAATGAACAAAACACAGTATTCAGTCACTGTTCTGGGATATGTTAATCAATGGAAGTAATTTGTGAAAGTGATAGTCTCAGTACTAGTCCCAGAAAGGACTTGTTTAAAGAAATGTTTCTATATTTACTATCCAGGGTACACTTACATGGCCTGATTAATGAGAAAATCATCTCTTTCCCACACATCTGCCCTTTTGTGATTACAAGCTACATTTCACTTGCTAATGAATCCCAGCCTCAAAAAAACCTTCACTATCTTCCAGGGTTCATCATTAGCTGCAAGAAATTGCTGGGAAAGCTCAGCAGGTCTGGCAATATCTGTGGGGAGAAAGCAGAGTTAACATTTCGGGTCCAGTGACCCATCTTCAGAACTGACTGTAGCTGGGAAAAGATGGTTATTTATGCTAAAGATGGGGTCGGGGGTTGAGTAAATGATAGGTGGAGATGCAGCCCCGCGAAAGAAAAACAGTTGGGCAGACATAGGAATGGGTAAAGGTCAGTTTGGGAGAATGAATAGCTGCTAATGGGGACCATTAGTGGCTGACAATGGGTTGTTTGTGATAGCAGCCCATGTGATCACAAGGCCTGGTGTGTGGGGGTTGGGGTGAGGACATGGGAGAAGGTGTTGAGGCCCTAAAATTGTTGAACTCAATATTGAGTCTGAAAGGCTGTACGGTCCCCAAGCAGAAAATGAGGTGCTGTCCTTTCAGCTTGCACTGAGCTTCGCTGGAATACCGCAGCAGGCCCGAGACAGAGATGCTGGCCAGGAAACATGGCGGTGTGTTGAATTGGCAAGCAACCAGAAGCTATAGGGCATTTTTTTCAGACAGTCTGCCCAGTCTGTGATTCTTCTCCCCATTGTAGAGGAGACAACAGTACCCTTGGGTACTCTGCAGCCTTCTGGACTCAATATCAAGTTCAACAATTTTAGGGCTTCAGCACCTTCTTCCATGTCCTTACCTCAATCCACATACACCAGGCCTTGTCAACACATGGGCTGCTAGCAGAAACAATCCACTGTCGGCCATTAATTGTCTCTATTAGCATATTCATTCACCCAGGACGACCTTTACCCACTCCCCTGTCCGCCCACCGTTTTTCTCTCTCACAGGGCTCCATCTCCATCTATCGCTTACTCCTACCCGCTCTTCTGACTCCATCTTTAACATATATACCAACCTTTCCTAGCTACAATCAGTTCTGAAGAAGGGTCATTGGACCCGAAACATCAATTCTGCTTTCTCTCCACAGATGCTGCCAGACCTGCGGAGATTTCCCAGCAATTTCGGTTTTTGTTTCTGATTTCCAGCATCCACAGTTCTTTGTTATTTTTATTCATTATCTGGCTGCCCAATCATCAACAGTGCCCTGGAACACTGCAGATCTTTTGATTCAGCAAATTGGCTCAGCTATCAGCTGGGGCTCAATAAGTTCCCCAAACAGATCAAATTATCTCTGCCTTCCCCTTGGATCAAACAAATACTATACAAAATTTGTAACCAGATCTTATTTTGATTCCGTTTTTTGAAGATTTTTTTAATTGTGTATACTGCTCTGCAAACGTGGTTAATCTAACAATTTATTATTCAAAATAACAGAACTTTATGAACTGAAAGTTAATTGATTCCTTTGATTCAGTCGAATGTCAAAGCAATTGCGTCCTGCTTCATTTTATCAGCTTGGCATCAAGTTAAATGAGGAGGTTGGATAACCCAATACTCTGCTCCTGCCTGCAGTCATTACTATAATTTCCTTAAAAGCTGTACAATTTCAACAAGCAATGTCTTGCTATATATGCTATCATATGTTTGCATAATTCACTCATACCAAAATTCTCTCTCTGTTGCTGTGCTTCCAATAAAACAAATTTGACACATGTTGCTAATATCCATATAATGAATACAATGAAAGTGTGATAAACCTATATGAAACCAAAGCAAATTATTTTCAAGTCATTCCCAAACTTCTACGATAGAGTTAAAATCACTTATTCAAGGAGGTAATTAATTTAATTCCATATGATGAAATCTATTAATTCTAGAATCCCTACAGTGTGGAATCAGGCTATTTGGCCCATCAAGTGTACATTGACCTTCCAAACAGCATCACACCCAGACACACACCCCTACCCTATCCCTGTGAACCTGCACATCCCTGGACAATTTAGCATGGCCAGTCTATCTAACCTGCACATCTTTGTGACTGTGGGAGGAACCCACACAAAAAATGTGCAAACCACACAGCCAGGCACTGGAGGCTGAAATCCAATTCAGGATCCTGGTGCTATAAGGCAGCGATACTAACCACTGAGCCACTGTGATGCCCTAATGTTTCTAGCTCTCTCAAACCCCACACAATACTGCACAGAATGATTTCCCTACAACCTTTTACATCCCAGACACACCACAAATGCTTTATGAATGAAATCTTTAAGAAAATAGAAAAAGATAAAAGAAAAATAGAAAATGTCAGAAATGCGAGGCCAGCTAGTAGGTCAGCCAAGAAAACGAGGAAAGCTCAAGACTTTAAAATGGAGCAGCTCCTCAAAATGTATCTTTCCTTTTCAGACATGAAAAGAACAAACACAACTGAAACCACTGAATCTAAATTGACAAAAGTACATGTGTGAATCTGGCGGTGGAACACAAGGTACATAATCTGCCCAAACTACTGAATTACTTGTGCTCACATTTTTGCTGTCCTTCAGGAACAATTCGATAAACCTTATATGGTTCGGAGATGTCAAGCTGTGAACGGTCAGTCACTTCTTCAAAATCTGGACTTTTGTTGAGCGCACAACGAAGTCTTGTTTTCCAGGTGGCAGGCTCTGCTTTCTCACCTTCTTTATATTTTCCTTTGAAAATAGCCCAAGCCTATAAACGTCATGTAACATATAAACCATGCATAAGTTAGTAGAAAGTCTCAATAAACTAATTGGTGCACTATGAACTACTCTTGTACTGGAAGCCATTAAAGTGGTGACCTCTCACATCTCTGATTTCTGCCTTTGCTGAAGCTAATAGTTAATCTCCAGCCGATACAACTGCAACATTCTTTTCAGCCCCCCAGTTGAAGGACAAGCTTGGTTTTGGCTGTTTTAATCCAAGTGTTAAAAAGCAGGTGATAAAATAGTAAGATGCCTTCCCACCCAAACCTGTATTTGGGAGATATTTTCTAACAATCACCTAAGTTCTTGCTTTTATTGTTCTCTAAAATCAAAACAACAATTCTGTCCAAGTCTTCTTCAGTTTCACAATAATCCGAATAACAAAGCAGACAAAGGCAAAGGGAAATTTGCATCCTGGACTTACATTCTTAAAAAGATTATAGAATCACTCCAGTGTGGAAACAGGCCCTTTGGCCCAACAAGCCCACACCAACCCTCAGAGCATTCCACCCAGACCCATCCCCCTATAACCCACCTTATCTACAAATCCCTGAACACTACGGTCAATTTAGCATGACCAATCCGTCTAAACTGCACATCTTCGGACTGTGGGAGGAAATCCACGCAGACACAGGGGGAATGTGCAAACTCCACACAAACAGTCACCCGAGGGTGGAATTGAACCAAGGTCCCTGGCGCTGTGACCCAGCAGTGCCAACCACTGAGCCACCATGCTGCCCTCAAGGTATTTTGATTATTTCTTTTCCAATGAAAGCAATAGAAAAGCACTCAGTCTCTTATATTCAGCTTCTAAATATATATATTTTACAACTTTAAAAGTTCCACCTGACAGTTGCATCAAGTCAAGTATTTTTCAAAATAAAATTAAACAGAAGCAAAATAAAATCTAGTTAGTTAGAAACTTGGTGCTTAAAGAGTTACAACGCCCTTGATCTAGATATACTACCTCAATGGATGTTGATTTGCAACTGAACTTCAGTTTAGACCTTTGTTCAGCTGCCGATACTTTGTCCTAACTACTACCTAATAATGTGTAACGTTCAACTGGAAGTGTTCAGTTTTCTGCTCTTGTCACTGAGCGAAATTTCTGAATCCTTCCACAGTCCTGTATCCAGATGCAAACAAAGGGATGTATAGCTAGGGTCTTCAGATCTAAAGAAGGATTACTAGACCCAAAGCCTTAACTCTACCTTCTTTCCCTGCTGCCAGTCTTGTTGAGTATTTCCAGTAATATGTTTTTGTTTCAGATTTCCAGCATCCAGCAGTACTTTGTTTTTTTTTGGATCTAAAGCTAGCTCTGTTCTTCAGACATGATAATATTGTCATTAGAAGCATTCTCAACTTGGATAAATAGTCCCTCCCTATAAACTAAATGCAAATTTTCAGAGATGATTTCACTTTCAGTGCTAAATACATACTACATCCAGCTTCTTGCTCTATACATTTTTCCATAATTTGTTTTTCAGTGCAACAGCAAAATGTCTAAACTTACTGCAACTGCAGAATCTAAGTGTCTGAACTTACTGCAACTGCAGAAGCTACAGTATATTTTTGCAAGATAATGAGCAAGAAAATATTGGCCAGGGCAGAGCAAATGAAGCAAAAATTGCCATTATTTTCTACCCAACTTATAAGTTAGTTCTCATTACTAATAGAGATACTCCCTCACCAAGTAATATTTGTTAAAAGGCTTGTTTTCTCAACTGCCAGAAAAAAACATATAATTTACATTTTTAAAAGTTCAGATTATTCCCCCACAGTTTTGTCCTTTCGTTCCTCGAAAAACATCCGACAACAGCTTAACTGAACTCAAAAGTCCCTTGATACAGACCGGCCTCAAAGTCAATGAAGCAAATTGGCTTGCATAAAGATGCGTATATCAGCTTTATGGTTTAGAAATTGGACTGACTAACTAACTTAGGATCACTGCTACAAACCTCCAAAGTGTCCCCAAACCTAACCGTATGCTTCACCCTTCGCTAAACTGTAGCCAAGTATTGCGATCAAAGTAGGACTGCTACATTAAAAAGAACAAATGCAGCATCATAAACTGTGCCAGAATCCTCGTACTTTGAAGATCGAAGCGTCCACCTCCTGGTTGTAGTCCTGTTTCCCGGCGTGTTTCCAAGGAATCCGAAAAGTGACTTTCTGCTCATCGTCCCACACCAAGCCTGGGTACTGATCGCTGTCAATCTGATCAATGAGCCACTGTTTGAGACGGCGCATCCCGGTGCTGTTTCTATCGACCATGCCGATCCTGCAATTGCAACATTTTAACCCATCAGAGAATAACTACCTGGTAACAGACTAGCGTGCCCAAGAAATTTGATTTGTCCTAAATCATAAAACAAGTTACTTAGAAACAAAATATTTTTTTAAACAATTGTGAAAAAAGTTTACATTGTAGTGTTGAAAATGTTTCCTCACCCTTGCATCATTCCACAGCAGCTCTGTGCCAGGTATAATTAACAGAGGTCTATTACCTAACTGCAGTGCTTTTCTCTTCTGGTTTCGTGTCTCCTGTTACTATTCCTTTAATTGTCTGACAATCAATGCCGTGTTATCTCGTCCGGAGCTGAACTGTGCGCGTTTATGCACTCCCAGTAAGGTGGGGTTGACGCTTGGCAACTGTCTGCTCATTGACACTGCGGTCGACCAAACATCTTAGCCAAGTTCAGACGGCGGGGCCAATGAGATGGGAAGGCGGGAGGGATTTCCTCCCAGTCCAACCCTTTTACAAGAAATCAGATGGGTTGGAAGAAGCTGCAGTGGCGGGTCTGATTGTAGTGTGTGTATATCCCTGTCTATTTCTAGGAGGTCCGAGGATCGCTTTTCAAAGTTTCCAGCAGTACATTTTGCGAAATGTGCTTTTATTGTTTCTTGACCTTCCGTCCATTGTACTTTACAATGGTATGGTTGTGTACATGTGGGAGTAGAGGGGGATTTACTTAAGTGGCATGTATTTAATTAGGGAATTTCCCGGGACCTGTACGCCTCCTCCTGTCCCAGGGTGGTAATAGTATCGGGGAATGAGAACCCTTTCGCAATACTCTTGAGGCGTTGTGTTTTATGAATTCCTAATGAGATGTCCCACTAGTTGAGGAGGGTTTAATTTCATTGGACAATACCCACAGACGGGGGGGTGTTTTTTTACTGACGTATTCGGCAGCGGTCAATGAACCAAGCTGATCCTTTAGTGAGGAAAAAAGACCATGAGAATATCCTTTCTCTGAATCAACTTAGGAGCTCGAACAGTTCATACGTGCTCCCACGAGGAGCTCGAACAGTTCATACACTTCACTAACACCTTCCACCCCAACCTTAAGTTTACCTGGACCATCTCTAACACCTCTCTCCCCTTCCTGGACCTCTCTGTCTCCATATTGGGCAACCACCTAGAAACCGATATTCATTTCAAGCCCACCGACTCCCACAGCTACTTAGAATACTCCTCCTCCCACCCACCTTCCTGCAAAAATGCTATCCCCTATTCCCAATTCCTTCGCCTCCGCCGCATCTGCTCCCAGGATGAGTCATTCCACTCCCGTACATCTCAGTTGTCCTCGTTTTTCAAGGACCGTAACTTCCCCTCCTCGGTGGTCGAGAACGCCCTCAACCGTGCCTCCCACATCTCCCGCACCTCATCCCTCACACCCCATCCACGCAATAAAAACCAAAAAAGAATCCCCCTCGTCCTCACGTACCACCCCACCAACCTCCGGATCCAACGCATCATCCTCCGACACTTCCGCCATCTGCAATCCGACCCCACCACCAAAGACATCTTTCCCTCCCCACCTTTATCTGCTTTCCGGAGGGACAACTCTCTCCGTGACTCCCTTGTCCGCTCCACACTCCCCTCCAGCTCCACCACACCCAGCACTTTTCCCTGCAACCGCAGGAAGTGCTACACCTGCCCCCATACCTCCTCCCTCACCCCCATCCCAGGCCCCAAGAAGACTTTCCACATCAAGCAGATGTTCACCTGCACATCTGCCAATGTGGTATACTGCATCCGCTGTACCCGGTGTGGCTTCCTCTACATCGGGGAAACCAAGCGGAGACTCGGGGACCGCTTTGCAGAACACCTACGCTCGGTTCGCAATAAACAACTGCACCTCCCAGTCGCGAACCATTTCAACTCCCCCTCCCATTCCTCAGACGACATGTCCATCCTGGGCCTCCTGCAGTGCCACAACGATGCCACCCGAAGGTTGCAGGAACAGCAACTCATATTCCGCTTGGGAACCCTGCAGCCCAATGGTATCAATGTGGATTTCACAAGTTTCAAAATCTCCCCTCCCCCTACCGCATCCCAAAACCAGTCCAGCTCGTCCCTGCCTCCCTAACCTGTTCTTCCTCCCACCTATCCCCTCCTCCCACCTCAAGCCGCACCTCCATCTCCTACCGACCAACCTCATCCCGCCCCCTTGACCTGTCCGTCCTCCCTGGACTGACCTATCCCCTTCCTAACTCCCTACCTACACTCACCTTTACTGGCTCCATCCCCGCCTCTTCGACCTGTTTGTTTCCTCTCCACCTATCCTCTCCTCTATCCCTCTTCTATCCGCCTCCCACTCTCTCCCTATTTATTTCAAAAACCCCCTTCCCCTCCCCCTTTTCTGATGAAGGGTCCAGGCCCGAAACGTCAGCCTCTCTGCTCCTATGATGCTGCTTGGCCTG